GTATTACTGAAATAAGTCCAGAATGGCATGGCATAAGCTTCCCTGGATTTAGTTACAAAAGTTGCAATACAGATTGCTTTGGCTGGATAATTTTAAGGTGGTGATTGATTATTTCTTTTTTTTTTTTCTTTGATGTGGGTCATTTATCACCGTTACGTGAGACAGTGAGACATTTTCCTTTTTCAATCATTGAAGAGTGTTTTAGAGTGCTGTTAGGAGGCCCCTTCAGCCCAGGCCCGTTTGATGTCAGTCATCTGATCCAAACGTGTGTGTGCAGCCTGCTGTGGCTCAGTAAGGGGAGACAGTGCAAGCATGCTACAAGTTTTAATCACTTCTAGCTCCTGTATGTTGCAGTGTGATCACAGAAAGCCACCAGGCTGGGTTACATGGTCTTTTCTGGATGCCCAGCCTGCTTTCTGCATGAGCAAGGTGTGCAGGTGCCTAACTGGGGTAGTTTTCAGTGGTCCATTGACTGTTCTGGTGTAGAGCCAGTCTGGAGGAGCAGGAACCTGTGCAGCAACAGCAGCCACACAGCTGATCTGTCCCAGAGCTGCATCTCAGTGGAGCTGCTGTCAAAAACAGAGTGGGAGATGTCTGGGGTAGGTGAAATGGGAGCCATGCAAGGGGCAGCAAAGCTGGCACAACAGAAGGCTGAGTCCAGTGCTGCAGTTAAAGGAGAGGCAGGTCAGAGCCCCAGCGACCTGCTGAGGGACAGATGTGAGCACAGATGTGCACAGATGTGAGATAAGGGTGGCAGGCAGGCACACTGCAGTTCCAGTGCTGTTCCCATTTTCCTGGGTGGATGGAGCACTGGCCCTGCCTCTGTCCTTGTGCCTGCTCTGGACCTGTTCCTGTGGGTGGTTTCACACCAGTGACTTCTTGGGCTCAGGCTGCATCATCTGCTCCACCTTGTCTGCATGACTTTTGCTGGGTGCTGTCTTTGCTTCCTGGAAAAAGCTTTTTTTAACCAAATCCCCTCTTATTGGATTCTTCCCATCCCTGGCTGAGCAGCTGTGTGAGCTGACAGGAGTCAGGAAGCAGCAGCCTCACAGCTGTGGGCTCCTGGTGTTTCCCTGCTGTGTTTGAGCAGGAGTTTGTCCCTCTGAAGCTGCTGTGAGGCTGCCCCATCCCATGGCCCACATCCCTGCTCTCCAACAGCATCCTCGTGGGCTGTGCTCTGGAGTGGTTGACCTGGCAGCAGCACACAGGGACTTTTTATAATCCTCACAGCCTTTCCACATGACATCAGTATTTTACAGGGACCTGTGGTGTTTTTTACAAGATTTTATGTAACTCTGGATAAACAGAGTTAGTGTCTAAGTGGTGATGGCTGATCTGCTGGGGAACAGGATTGTGAAAAGAAATACTGGCAATGCAGTGTGTTTATCCCACAGTTACAAGGGCACTAGGAACATCCCACACAGAAATGACAAGTTTAGTCAGGTTAAACCTTGTGTACAGAAAGTCCCATAAAAGTGGAGCATGGAGGGCGGGGAGATGATTTTAGCCATGGGCAGGGGTTTATTTTGCACAAATGCAGGTAACATCTGTGCTGTGCTATTGTTGATTTTGTAGTTGGTCTTTGTAAGGTCACAGCCAATGTCACAGTAAGAGTTTGGGCTGTGCTGTCCAGGCTGCAGCCACCCTGGATAAAATGCAGTTGTGTTCTTGTTGTTCTCTGGCTAAGAATCTGCATGTTGACAGTTTATTTCCCAGCCCTATTTTTATTTTGGGAATTTTTTTTCCCTCTCACTGTGACTGTCAGTTTTGGAGGCTATTCTGCTGATGCTGGTCTCAGCATTTTGTACTTGGATGCTATTTTCTTCTGGATGCTCAAGGCTGCTATGATGGATTTGTTCTTTCACCATAGCCCCTTTCATCATAACCCACTTAGCACTGGGTAGCAGTGCTACAGCCAGAAGGAGCAGACTGGGAAATGCAGTGTGGTCTGGCCAGAGGAATAAGGAGAACTGCCAGCTTTTATCAAGAGAGTTGGAATTTGCCCTGTGTTGTTGTCCTCCTCCTGCCTTTGTTTCAGTCTTTTCCCCAAAGTAAAGCAGGAAAGTATTAGGGGATGGTGAGAGGAAAGTATTCGGGGATGGTGAGGCTCATTTTCCCTCCTGTGAGTAGGTTAGTGTTTGTAAAAAGGAAAAGCATGGCTGAAGTCCCACAGAAATAAGAGTGGAATGAGAATTGGGACTCTGGTTTTAGTTCCCAGGTTTGTCACCTTTTTACTGTCTCTGTCACTGTGAATTGCACCTGGAAATGGTGCAGCTTTCTGTATCTGAAATCCAGCTGTCCAAAATCTGACCCTTTTGAGATCTGGCACCCACATGTGTCTAAACACCATCCTGCTTTCTAGCCACTTGTATATATGTATGATAAAAGCCTAAAATGAGGCAGCCAGGTCGAAATATGGGAGGCTTCCAAAACTAGTTAATACCAGTTGGCCTTGGGAAATCATTTCTGTTGGCTTTCAATCTTCCAGCCTAAATTATTCCATCAGAAATTAATTTTGTTGACTGCACTTGTCTCATTAATAGTTGGCTCTCTACCTCAGTTTACACAGCTGTAATGAGCAATCATGAGTTTCCCATCCAGGTACAGCTCAGAAATGAGCACCACAGACATAATTTTGCATGCTCAGAGTTATATTGAACTTGGAGAGATTCCCCAGTCTGTCAGAATTGGTGTTTATGAGACCCCAGCACCAGCCCTGTTGGACCACACCTTGCAATAAAACCATGGATGATAAATCCTTATCCATGGTGGAAGGTTTGGGGCTCTAGATGGGCTTTAAGGTGCTTTGCAGTCCAAACCATTCCATGGTTCTCTCTGCCATGGGTGCCTGGTGGATCTGCCTGTGGCTGTGGGATGTTGTCTGTCCCCCCCTCCTTGTCATGCCTTGCTCTGGGAACACCAGCATGATGTTTTATAGCAGCGTCTGCGCTCACCTGCTCCTACAGAGAGAGGGCTGGGAGCAGCAGTGTCCCTTAGAATGTGAGCTCCAGCCCTGCCAAGGCCACTGGAGCAGGACAGGCTGTGCTGTGCCCTCTCTCAGAGGACACCCTGGTCCCTCGTGAGTCACGGGGCTGTTCCATCCCAACAGGGACCTGCACCTGGTGCTGCAGGCACAGTGGTGATCTCCTCTCCACTGACACACACCTGGCTCTGGCATGGGAGGAATTACTGCTCTTGCACTGCCTTGATTCATAGGATTTGATTTTTAGGTTTCTTTCTCCTTGCCTTCCTCAGCTCTTTAGTCGGGGAGGATTACACTGGTGGCAGTATAAAATGAGAGCTGCCTGTATGAGGAGAGGGCTGGATTTTCAGAAAACATTAACACAGCCCAGTTTTGGAGATCTGACTTGGACATCACAGTGAGGTTTGGGAGCTTTCGCTTATGCAAAGCAGCAGAAGTGGGTTGTTTCCATTTTCCATGTTGTTGCCAGTGGGGCTGTCTTTGTCCAACTGTGCCCTGGTGTACCCTGGCAGAGGCAAACTGCCCCCGGAGAAGAACTGCTGTCAGAATCCTTTAAAGTCGGTCAGGCAGGCTCCTGCTTCGTGAGGTTTATCAGCAAAGATTTTCTGTGCCTCCAGTGGGAGGCTATTTTTAGTCTATCCAGGGGCTACCTTCTGCTCTGAGGTCTTTATTGCATTTTTTTTTTGGAATAGAGAAACCTGCGTCTTTTAGGACAACCTTAAATACCTTCATCTTTTGCAGTCCAAAAATCTAGATAGTTTTTTATTCAAGGTAAAAGTTTTTGGCATTTCTGTGACACGTTCAAGATTTCTTTTGTTGCTTTTTTACTGTAGAAGAGGGACACTGCTGTAGACATGAGAATACTCTGTTTTCTCCATTGAGCAGAGCTGACAGCAAGTGGGGTACTTAATAGTTCATCATTCATACTCTGATCAGTACTTGACTGTTGCAGGAAATCCACATTGTGTTTCATTGCACCATGTAATCAAGACTGGAAGAGCTCTCCAGAGATGATCTTGTTCATTTTCCTGCCCCATGGCAAGATCAGTCATACCTGTGTCTTTCCTGACCTGTGTTCTCTTAAGACCTCTGCAGCCTTTCCAGGCAACATATTTCAGTGCCTCACAATCCCTACCAGTAAAATCTGGTTTCTCCCCACCTTGTATCTAACCTGAATCATCTCTGCTGCAGATTAAACTTGTCACTTCTTGTCCCATCCATTTTGAATTCAAAGAACAGGTCATTCCTTTTTGCAGCAATGTTAAATATTTGACGACTATTCATGTGCTTCTCTCTTCCTAGCGTTAAATACCCACAATTTGTTAAATCATCCCTTCTTCATGGTGGATTTAAATCTTCTATGTAAACCTTAATTGGCCTGTCTTCTCAAAAATACTCTGTGACAATCCCAGTCATTAACTAATCCACAAACAGTTTAAACCCTTTGATCAGCATTTTATTTATATACTTGAGTAAAAGCATTCAATGCCAGCTAAACTGCCTGTTTGTACATCATTGTCTCTGGTAGCCTTGTGCTGGTGTGCAGGCAAAGAACCTGCAGGGTTTTCTGCTTCCCCCTAACTGCATTTCATTCCAAGGGAAAGGTTGGGTGGCTGGCAGGGTGTGAAGCTCAGCGTGGTTTGTGCCTTGGTTCCGTGGGACAGTGCACCGTGAAGGTTGTGCCTTCAAAACAGAAAGGGAGCCCAGAGACAGAATCATGGAATCATGGGTGTCTGCAGGCATCCAAAATACACACTGATGGGCGCAGGAATTCGGAAGTGACATGTGCTCAGACAGGTGGTAGGCTGTGAAATGTCACTTGGTATTAGGACCTTCTGGCGTGGCTGTGTTTGAACAGTCAGGTCATGCTTGGAGCTCAGCTACTGTGACTTGGATGTCCTTGATGGGTATGGTTTCAGCTCCAAGGAAAAGTCAAGGAAATTGCATTTCAGCAGTGCATATAGGGGGAAGAATGGAAGGCATGGAACGTAATTCTCTCTGGATTTCTCTGTTGTAGGTGAGTGTTTTAACCACCTTGGAGCGGCGGTTCAACCTGCAGAGCGCCGACGTGGGTGTCATCGCCAGCAGCTTCGAGATTGGCAACCTGGCCCTCATCCTCTTCGTCAGCTACTTCGGGGCCCGAGGACACCGGCCACGCTTGATAGGATGTGGAGGGATAGTCATGGCCTTGGGTGCCCTCCTTTCTGCCTTGCCTGAGTTTCTCACCCACCAGTACGAGTACGAGTCGGGGGAGATCCGCTGGGGAGCCGAAGGGAGGGATGTGTGTGCTGTCAATGGGTCCAGCAGCGATGAGGGACCAGACCCAGACCTTATCTGCAGGAATAGGACTGCCACCAACATGATGTACTTGCTGCTCATCGGGGCACAGGTCCTCCTGGGCATTGGTGCTACCCCTGTCCAGCCCCTGGGAGTTTCCTACATCGATGACCACGTGAGGCGGAAAGATTCCTCCCTGTACATAGGTAAGGCTCTCTGAATTTCTCCTCCTGGAAGGCTTTCCTTGTGGGCTGGCATCTGGCTTTGTTGCCTGTTTGATGCCAGTGGAAGTGCCTCAAGGCCTCTTCTCCATGTGCTGCTGGGCTGTGAAAGTAACTTGGCATGGGTGTCTCCGTCAAGCAGCAGGGAAGCACAGTAGTGCTTGCTAATATTGCAGCAGTGGTAAAGGTTGACAGCTGTGATGACTGGGCAGATGCTCATTCCTTCTCTTGTGTTTGCCCAGATTGCTTTAAGTTCTTGTATTGATGGCTCGTGGCTCCATTTTAGCTGAAGAATTTTCAAGTGGTATGTGTGATGATGGTTGACTTTTTTATTTTGGTTTTTCTTTCCCCCCCCACACGATACCCTAGTTCTCATCCTGTTCTGAGTGATCGCTGCAGTGTGAGGAGACTGAGAGGACACACGTGTTGTCACTACCACTGTCACATTTTAGCAAGGAAGTGCCAGTTACAGAGTGGGTGCTGCGGCCCAGGACGCTGTGGCAGGACCCTTGATAATGTGATCCCTGTAACGGAATGGGATGTGGAAACTGGTGAGGTCTATTTTGAGATACAGTGAGCCTCAAGTAGAACTCATGGTGCTGGTGATCATGTTGCAAAATTCTTTCGTATGGTTACGCTGTGAAATTTGTCTTTGATTCCCCAGTGAAGCATCTCAGTTATTGGGGTAAAGTGCTTGTGGGTGCTGCTTGAGCAGTAGTTGCCCCTCCCAGCAGGTTTAAAGAGGATGTTGTTGGCAAAGTTTTCTTTGAAAAAAATGTACCAGCTTGGCACATTCCTCTTTCTGTGGGATTTGTCACTAGGTGAGCTGCTCCAATGGAATAAATCAGTGGAGTGTGTGCTGCCATTGTTGGTATAATGCTGGTAACCAAAAGTGTGCACTAGTCCCATCATCCCCACCTTGGTGTGACTTTCAGCTGAATGGGTGATCCTTTTCCTGTTTGGGTTTTTTTCCCAAAGACATTTTTATCAAGTTTCCAAGCTGAGTGTGGCCATTGAGAGCACAGCTGAGCAGTCCTGCTGACTTTCAGAGTGCTTTTTAATGTCCTGGGTAGTGCAGAAGCCTGGTGGAAGGTCACTGCATAGCGTGGCACTCATGGATGTATTGCTGCTTCACTCAGAGCTTCGTCTGTGTATTCAAAACATGTCCCTGCTTTTCTGTAGCTGGCCATAAAATCATGGTATTTCAGCATTTAGCTTTGTCCTTGGGTCATTACTCATCCTCATTTGGTTCTGTAAGTGTTTGTGAGGGATCCACTGGACAAAGAAGGATGATGTATAAAATACAAGATAATGTACAACCCAAAGGTGAATAATGAGACTGAATTCACTGGAGCAACTGTGCCAACACCATAAATGATGAGCTGGAATTAAGAGTGATTCTAAGATTATCTATTATAAATAACTGTATGGAGGAGCAGCAACTTCTTTCAGTCTGTTCCGTGGGCATTTTTTAAGCAATGCTTCATATCTTGAGAACAGGCTGGAGGAGGGTGCATGAGAGGAGGATTAGGAAGAGTGATTCTTCTTCTTCCTGAGCTACATTCATCTTGTATGCTAAAATAACGTGTTTAAAGTTGGCAGTTCAACTGTAGCTGGGAAAATGCTTCCAGAAAATTATTTCTGCTTACTATGTGCTGCTTTTTTATTTTTTCTGCAGAGATAAGGATGTTGTCTAACCGTATTTGTTACTACATGTGGAGTTTAAAAACAAACACACAGAAAAAGCCACACCAAAAAAAGCTCACCACAAAAGCCCAAGCATTTTGGGGTTGTTTGCTTTCTGGCTTTAGCTGTGGAAATCATAACCTGAATTTCTGCATCTGAATTGTGGATTACAGAGGAGTGCCTGTGTATGCACACTCAACCAGCAATGAAGTTTAATTTCTGCCCTGTCCTAGCCTATAAATCACAGGTAGGGTTTCAGATACTGGATGATTAATTCATCTATCAACTTGCAATCAATTTTGCTAGTGAAAATAAAAGCTACCAGGAAAAAAAATCTATTCCATGAATGAATACAAATGGAGAAGTAACAAGTGGAAGTGTCATCTTACATTGGTGGAAACTTGTGAGAGAATCAGATTGCTCGGTTTAAATGTTGTTTGAGAATTATTTGCTCAGATTTGCCTTTAACTGATTATTTTTGTTGATGTCATCAATGCAGTTTTTAGTGGCCTTAGAAGAAAGCTGGCTGAGCAGCCTACCCACTTCATTCTGCTCTGTTTCACAGAGGAAATAACTGCAGAGTGGATACTGTCACTGTGCTATATTTATATCAGTTTGCTTTCTCATAATAGCACACTCACTCAGTGGGGGCCGTGTGTGACCAGAGGAAATGTTTTTGGGTAAGTTCCCTTAGTTCAAATTAGGGGCAAATCTGGCATAGATGGTTCTCTCAGGACAGGAACTAATTAATAACAGTGATAATAGTCTGGCTGAACTCTGTAGAATGACTGGCTGCTGCTGAGAAATGATCAGATTGACCAGTTTGGGCTGTCCTGAGTGTATTGCTTATGTTGAGTCTGTGTGTGCTGCATGGGGCTGGACTGTGGCTGAGGGTTAGAAGCAGTCTCTCAACCTGACAGCTAAGCACTAGCCATAAATAAAAATCCTCATGTCCCAAGGCAGTGAATTAGATAGAAATAACTGTGCGCACCAAGAGGGGTTTTTTTTTCTCCTTCTAAGTTGTATGAAAGTTAAGTGGAGTAATAGTATAATATCTAACACAGTCACTTTGCAGTGAAATAACAATACAGTTCAGCTTCTCTGGTTATTTAAAAAAAAAAAAGTCCAAACCCCAAGAACCCCCCCCAGACCTTTTTTTTTTGTGTGTTAATGCTCATGTGTATGCAGAGGAATGCAGATGTGATACCATATGGAGTTTAAAGTGGTGCTTTGGCTTTAATCATTAGTGGAACTAATAGCATCTGTGGAGTGTAATATTTTTCAGAACACTGAAGCCCATCAGATTTCTCCTGTGGTTTCTCTGCAGTGACAGGCACACAGGAGGTTGTGGGCAGTGCACCTCTGCTGAGCATCCTTTGAAGTCAGGGGCTGCTGAGGCTTGTGCTCTGCCAAAGAGGTGGGGATTCTTGGAGTTTCTTAATTAGAGAGGCAGGGGTGAGATACTACAGGAATATTTCTCTTCATGGGCTGCTGACTTGCAGCTTCATGTTTCTTGCACTAATGGCAGATTTTAATTTTTTTTTTTCTTTTTGCTGCCTGCAATGTGTTGCTACCAAACTCAAAAACATTCTGTTGCTGTAGTAACCAGGCCTAAGAAAAAGGGGCTGTTTTGGTAACCCAGGGCAAAGTGAACCAAAGAGATGAGTGTGTGAAAAGTACACACTGAAGTATGTTCCAAAGGAAACACATCTGAGCTGTAGCAGGGTTAGAAAGATCATGGCAGCATGCCTGCTCTGGTTAATCATAGAACAGTTTGGGTTGGAAGGGACCTCAGAGATCATCGAGCTTCTACCCATGCCATGGGTAGGGACACCTTTCACTGGTCAGGAAGAAACTCTCCTCCTGTTTTCAGCATCTGACTCAGAGGTCACAATGCTGGCAGTAGCAGCCAGAAGATGGAAAAAAATAAAGGAATTTTCTTAGCAGTTTGAAATTGGGGAAAATGTTCTGGTTTGGTGCTGGTTTGCTTGCTTCTGAGTCTGAGCTTGTATTTAATATTAGAACTCCCATCTAGCCGTTTCCAAACTAACAGATTAATTTTACCTGTGTGCTTATTGACATCTGGCATAAGTAACCCCTCTGAGTGGAAGAATTCTTCATTCCTACAGACTATGCAGGGCTTGTTACTGCTCCATCCTCACTAGTGTCAAAGGATTCCTTCAGTTTGTGGCACTGTTTATTTTAAAGGAGTAAAGACTACTTACTCTACGCTTCTTTTCTCCACCCACTAATGACTCACTTGGCATTTCCTTTTTTAGTTCTTTCTCTGCTCAGTCTTGCTGAGTTCTCTTGAAATCAGTGAGGACTTTGTCATTGGGAGGGAGATCAGAGCTGATACAAAGAGGGGAAAAAAACCTGATCTGACAGTGGTTGTATGGATTTGCTGCCTCTCAGATAAGCTTACAAGAGTTTTTTTGGTCACTGGAGTGCCCGTGCTGCTCCCAGCAGTGCTTTGTGAGTTCCATTAGAGCCAGTGCACTGATGTGGTTGGTTAATGTTTTTAGCAGCCTGAGACACACCTTCTGGCCTTCCTGCTGCACTTAACATTTGCTGATAAAAGTTCTTGCATCTTGTCTGGGACACAGTTACCTACAGAGCAGAATGAATAGCCTCTGGGAGCCAGTATTTGATCTGGGACAATTAAGGGCTGTATTAAACAGAGGAAGTTGCTATTATTCTGTCTCCAGTTGATGGAGGAAATTGATATTGATGTTGGAAGGAGCCCTGCCAGATTGTGAGACTCATTCAGAAGAATGCTGTGCTGATCTTTCATGCATTTCAGAGTGTCTCTTTGTATTTGTTGAAGCTGTCTCTGTGTTTGGCATTGTGGGCACACACCCCACATGTTCAGGCCCCATGGCTTGGGGGCCTCACTGAATTGCAGTAATGTGAAGAATGGCTTAAAGGAAGCCCCAGAAGGGACAAGTCTTGAGTCAAGAGATGTGTGCTGTGGAGTGATGAGTGCTCCTGAGTTATTGCTGTGCAAGGGTGTGTCTGAGCACAGCATCCTCTGGGGCACAGAGCTGTCCTTGGCCTGCTTCATGACAGGGCAGAGGAATGCAAAAATGGGTAACTCAGCTCTGCTTAGCTGCTTTCTTCTGTCTTACCTATTTGGCCTTTTCTGTGTGTATTTTGGTTTTATCATATGGTTGTTCCAGCTCTTACCCTTGGTGTGAGAGGAGAACTCAACAGAATGGTGTGTTCCTACCACATCTGTCCTAACTAACCCTGTAAGAAAGATGGGACCCTGCATTGCAGCTGCTGGCTTTGACCTTTGT